TCCCTGCCCATCGCAGAGGGAAGATGCATGATCTATAAGGTCCCTTCCTACTCAAACTATGCTGTCATTCTGCGACTCTATGATTATTCATATATGCTTTCACATGCATGAAGTTACTTGAAGTTTCACTGTTACATCATTTTTCTCACCACAGAATCACAGAATGTTTTGGGTTGGAAGGGACCCTTAAGATCACCCAGTTCCAACACCTCTCTGTAGACCGGGTTGTTCACAGCCCCATCCAGACTGGCCTTGAGTGCCTCCAGGTAGGGGGCATCTACAGCATCTCTGGGCAACCTGTGCCAATGTCCCACCACCCTCGAAATCCTGCTTTAAGTGTCATTTGATGGATGGGAACATCTAACAAAGGGGAGTTAGTACTCTTTTTCCCTGAGAAAATGAAGTAAAGGTTGGGGGGGAACGTCTAATAAAATATAAACCCCTAGTTGTATAGGCTGTGGCCAAAGGTTAGAATTACTGTAAAAATACCCAATCCCAGAGCAAAACTGGAATCTTTAAGTAACTTTATATCCAGTGCTGAGTAGTCGTGCCTCAATTCATTAATTTGCAAAATAATCCTGCATTTCATCATGTTTGCTGCCAACATTTGAGCCGTTTGAGATTCCATTGGAGCTGATTTCTCCCTTTTCACTGAAGTTGGTTGTGTACAGTTTGGCAGTTTGATCAGAGACAGGGGTTTATTGTGTAGAAATGGTCTGTATAAGTCCTAGTGGAGACATTAAACACAGCTTTCCATATTCAGCAATGTAAGGTTTAATGTCAAGAAAAGGGTGTTTCTGAAAGCAGTACCTGTAGCACATTCCCCCTCCTGGTTATTCACTCCATTCAGATACTTCTGTCATTGCTTCTGCAACACAAAGCCATGTATTGACAGCTGTATTCGATTTTCAAAGGCATAGAAGGGAAGAGTAAGAGCGTGAACCTAGGATTGGGTGGCATAAAGGTCGGGGTGTGAAAAGAATGGTAAAACTTAAAGTAGAGCAGGCTCCAAGGCTTGGAATGGAAACAGAGATTGGTAACTACACTGAAAAATCTGCAGTTACTGCAGAAAATCAAGTGTTCCTTTACTGATAACACAAAGACTCTCCAGCCACTGAAAGACACATGCTTGTCTGAAGCAGGTACTTAAAACTGCATCGCCGATTTTAAGCACTGGCCATTTCAAGCATTGTGCTGGAGGCGCAACACAGGGATTGTCATGTCCAGGTCCAGGACTTGCAGCAGACACGTTACAGAACGAGCATCCAGCAGCAAAATGTAGATCACGTCTGAGCTGCTATCTCAAGACTGCATTTGTTACAGGTACGAAACCTACTCCACCTCACCATCATAAAGGTTTTCTACTTTGACTCCATTCAATTTTCTGATTTCTGGATTTGGGAATGTTATTTTTCACTAGCTTCACTGACACTGAATTTGATGTGCAGTAATGGAGTTACAGTCGAGTTAAACCAGTGATTCGACATACTGACTGGCAATGTTAGTCTCATTTTACAGAAATCAGATTTTTTTTCTGTTTGCAGTCACTGTAACAACATGTAATGACTTGCTGTGACAGCATGAGCAAGGGGGGACAGCTGTGAAAGAAAGTTGAGCCACTAAACATCTGTCTTAGCAACAAATTAAGTCTGAAGCAGCGTCATATTACTATTTTAGTCCATACATCTATCTTTTTCACACTGTTTTTCTGCCAGATTGTTAAAAATAACTTGTTGCTGTCTGCAAGCTCTGTGATGCATACGAAGATTTTGCTCCAGTACTTATAAGATCAGAGAGTGCTGATGCAAAGTTCTCAGGCTAGTAAAGCCAGGATTTACAATTTGCCTTGGTTCTTTAAGGCAACGCATTAATACTTGTAGTAACTACAGAAAGGTCCTGAAGGGACCATCAGTGATGTAGGTAGTTTAAATACGAATGCTGATTCAGTTATTCAATCAGCCAGGCATTATTTTATACAGTACATCTACCTCTCAGTGTTCATCTTTGGTCACTCTGGATGAGAATCAGAACTGTAAATAAAGCTTCTGCTCAGGAGGCAGAGTTCTAACAACAGGTGTAGTAGGTAATAAATACACACAAGAGCAACTTATTCATAAGGTGACTAGTATTCAATCTGCTGCATTTTCAGTTGAGCCATGAACCAGATGCCAACCACATTCCTTAGAGGCTTGTTGCTAATTCCTTGGCAAGGCTACAATATAAGTAAGATTACTTCAAACAAGAGCTGTTTCTGCTCTATTCTTTAAATATCCCACAGTGCTGAAATTGGAATGAAAGGAGATAAGGAGCTCAGCAGCCATTTGCAATCCAATCACATGGATAAAACTGACCAGAGACAGGTTTTCCTGTACCTGTTTTATCAAACTGAAGTTAAATACATCCAGTTTATTAAAATTCTTCCTTTCATTCCCATAAGTAGATGTGCTGAACAATTTTGGCTGGGTGGCCACAGACAAAGGGTTGCTGTAAATTGCTCTATGTTCAGGTGAAAGCCAGTGATGAATGACTGGTTCCATACTGGGATCCATCCCATTTAACGCCTTTATTAATGACACAGATGGTGGAATTGAGTGCACCCTCAGCAAGGTGGCTGATTATACTAAGCTGAGTGGTGCAACAGAAGGAAGGGATGCCAACAAAAGTGACCAGGACAAGCTTGGGAGGCGGACCCATTGGGTCCACTAATGGGATGTTCAACAATTCAACAGGACTACTTCAGCTACCTTTAGAGATCTTTGGAAGACTCTAAAATATTTTTAAATGTTTTAACGATGTAGACATGGTGGTGCAGCAATGATTGAGAGGGAAATGCCCACTAAGTTATATAAGAAAGAGCATCTTTTGAATCCACCTTTAAGAAAAGTGGCACGGTTCAGCCAACAAAGGGCATGGCTTCAGGATGCCTGGGGGAGGCATCTTCTGTACTGCAGTGACAGCACTGTTTTCTTCCATCACTGCAGGTCTGTCACTTTGCTGTTGCTGAAGTTGCAAAAGGGACACCTCAAGTCACCTTAACCAGCCCCATGGGAGAAAAGGCAGTGCCCTGTAAGATAGGTGGAGGCTTAATTTCAACGGTGATTAGTACTTACACTGCTATCCTGCTGCCCTCACGTGTTAGTATTTGGTATCACTCAAGATACTGATAGGAATTCTGCAGGTCTCCTGTCAGAGCTCACACAGAATCAGATTTGAGTCTAACTATCAGTGTTTAAATCCCTTCTCCCCACCTCTGTCCAAGTCTTTGCTAAGAAAAACAGAAGTTGCTTCAGAGGAAAGCTAAACCTGTACACTTCAAAGCACTTAATCTTCAATGTCTCCGGAACCAAAATGACAGATTACTTTTCATGGTTCATCACAGACCTGCAGGAGTTGGAAAGGACCTCAAGAGGTCAGCAAATCCAGCCCCCAGTAACAGTGCAGCAATGTATATATGTGGAAGAATTATGATCTTAAACACTTAACTCTGAAGGAAGAAGCACCTTGAACAATAAACTTAACTCAGAGTCCAAAAGTCACTTTCACTAGCTAGATCCTAGTCAGTGAGATCTCAAGTCCTCCTTTAACCACTTCATACAGCATTAAAACCAATAAACTTCTAAGCACTATTGCGTTGTGTCCTGGTCTCTATCCTTTATTGTGAAAGCTGTATGCACTGTACAGGAAGTCAGCAATTCAGTCCTACAATTTCTTTCTTTCTTCTGGATATTGATTTTAACCCAGTAAATTTGTTCATGCAGCTGCTTCCAAAAAGAAATATGGAAGAATGGATGATTTACAATACGATAATACCTCCCTTTCAACAATATTAGGAATAAAGACTTTGAAGAAGACTGGCCTGTCGGATGATTTATTTTTTCATAGTTTGAACCAAAAGCTGTGTATTTCTTACCAAACAGTGCTGAAAACGATGACCACATTAACAGCTCTCAAGACGTTTCACAGAATGGCAGAGGTTAGAAGGAATCTCCTGAGGTCATCTTGCCCAAAGTCTCTGCTCAGGCAGAGCCTCCTACCTGCAGCAAGATGCCCAGCATCATGTTCATATGCCTTTTGGATGCCACCAAGGATGGAGCACCCAGAACCCCTCAGGGCAACCTGTGAACGTGCGCAGTCACCCTCGGTGAGAAAGTGTTTCTTGATCTTCAGCCAGAACCTCCTGTGTTTCAATGTGTGCCCATTGCTTCCAGTCCTGCTGTTGCACCGACAGCAGCCTGCGTCCATCTTCTGTGTGCTGTCCCTTTGAGTATTTGTGCACACAGGTTGCTCAGCTGGCCCTAAGCCTTCCCTAAGCTGAACAGACCCGGCCTTTCTTTCTCTCAGGGATTCCATAACTAGAGATATTACTACGTCAGGTGCAGCCTCAGCAGTGCTGCTGGCATCAGTAGGCTGTTGCAGGTACAATGTAATCTCTGTCCCCTCCTCCAGTCCTTTGATTTCTTTCAAAACTAATTGCACTGCACCCCACGCCAACAGAGCAGGAGCAAAGTGCACTGAAAATGTAAGTAATGAGAGATTGCTCTGAAAGAATTTCTCTCCTGTTAATTGTTTTGGCAGTTGCTCCACATACAGTTAGGAATAATTGTTAGTGCTATCACCTTGTTTATCTCCGAGTAAGAAGGTATTTGTTATCACTGTACATGGGTATGACTTCAGTGACCATATTACTATTACTGGGTGCTCACTGTCATAAACTTGCTGATGTACATCTTGGAATTGTGGTAAATTATTTTCTTGAGGACACAAAGCAGGAGAGGGAATTAAATCAGCAGTATCATGCTGAGCTACAGAAGGTCATTCGTGTTGGACGGTTTTCGTTGTCATCCTGCCTCATGTTAACTGTCCAAAGAAACAAGTGAGAATTAAAATACAACAGGATACGATTGGTGGGGTCCTGATCCAGTTAGGGACAGCGAGAAAATAAGGCTGAAGCTTTCTTCTGTATCTTAGTACCTAGGATAACATGAAACAGCACACTGAACTCTTTGAAAATAAGTTTAATTTTATCCATTAGAAATATTATCCCCATAGGTCCACCTTTCCACAAAGGCTTAGATTTTAAAGGAACAGAGTTCACATCTTCTTTTGAATTAATAAACAGCTAGATGATTAATTTCAGTATTAGATTCAGAATCTGGTCAGCTGAATAAGAAAGGAAGTCAATATCAGATAATCAGGAAGGAATAAAAATTAGATGTATGCCGTCGGTTAGTTTTTGGACCACTAAATATAACGCAGAACTGAACTTAGCAGTCAAAGGAAATGGACCAAATACATAAAACCAGCATATGATCTTCAATAGTTCCACAGATTCTGTCAGCATTTTAATGACCTTTGCACCATGTTCTAGGGTAAGTCAAGCCAACTACAATTTTCAGTCGCCATTCAAAACTAATGAAAAGTTGTCTTCTTTAATGGGCAAAAGTGACAAGTTTCCTGATGCACAGAATCATTCAGCATGGTCAACAAGCCTTTCAAAAGGCTTGTTTAAAAGAACAAATCAAATCCAAGATGCCGCTGTTCACTGTACGGTTCGCTCTTCTCACTTCATTGTTACTGATTAGTTTTGCCGTGCTCACCAGAAGCAGGCCTGCGCCCAGCATTTTTGATTAAGACGCCATTTTACGAATCATGTAGTTCAGAATGCCTCCATTGTGGAAGTAAGTGAGCTCCACGTCCGTGTCAAACCTCATGATGGCATGAAAGGTTTTCCCAGTATCCAGCTGTTGAGGTTAAAGAGAGTTGTTCAAGCAGCAGAACTTACCACACGACAGTAAAATACAGGCTATTATGATAGTTTTCTAATCTGAATAGCTCAGATGAACAGCAAGTGGACACCAGTGCTTTTTTTTTAAGACAAGGGGCCACACCAGACCACAGCCAACATCTTCAGAGCAAGTTGGCTTGAAACAATATGGAGACTCCTTGCACTGCACTTACTGTCTCTAACTGATTTAAGGTCGACACAAGCCTAGTATGTAAGCTGCATGTAAGCTGACCACCCAATTAAGTGGTTACAATAACTTCATGTTTTTCTGTGCAGTCATTCTCCTGGCTTAGGTACAACAGTAACTCTAATTGCATTAGCATTCACTGGAGCTCTGTACGGGAAGAAGAAAAGCAGAAAGACAGGAGCAGGAAGCGAATCAAACTACGTCAGTTTTGCTGAAAGCTGCTCTCATCAGTGACTTTACAATAAAGTGATGAATCACTGGGATCTATGCTCTCCCAGTTTCAGGACATTAATTGGGCATACGTAGACAACATTTGTAGGCTACTCCACAATACAGGACTGCTTTGTGCTGAATTAAGCTGTTTGGGAATGCTGCTTTTATCTCCCATCACTGCTTTCAGAATTACTGCTTCCTCACAATAACAGAATGCCAGGGATTGGAAGGGACATCAAAAGATCATCTAGTCCAATCCCCTGCCCTCAATTCTTTTGCCTTCCTGAAAAAAGAGATTACTGGAGAAGACACAGTTTGAAGAGACAGTTAATTCAAGAGAAACCGTGGCAGCCCTCAGGCATTTCATACCTTGATCTCGATATTCATCTGTGGTTTTAGACTTTCAGGAATTATAATCGTGTAACGTTCTCTTCCAGTGAGTCCTAAAGTCCTTGCATCCTCCCCAGGTAAATACTGCAGAGGAATCACTCCCATCCCCACAAGATTGCTCCGATGAATCCTCTCATAGCTTTCAGCAAGCACAGCCTTGACGCCCTGAGAAGTACACAATGGGTGTGCTTATCCAGATGGCTCAGGATAGACCTTCTGCTCTCACAGGAATAGGACTGGGATGTTTGAGGTGCCCACCCTTCACTTACTGACTGTTGCTGGTCAGTAGGTACTGCTAATCAGCGGATTGCCCACAATAACTTGATTATATGTCAACTTCTAAACATCTTAAGAAGAAAGACTGCCAAAAAACTGCACGCACTTTTCTGGGAATTCTGTGTAATTTTCCTGTGTGTTTTTTGTAGACTTCTTTGTGTCACACGTAGAGTACCAGTAGTTATTTTTGTAATTTTTGCTACTTCAGTGTTCTCCTCCTACCCTGCATATTCCAGGGTGCAGTGTCATTGATCTTTACATGTTCATGTGCAAATACAGTTTACACAAACTTCACCAATGCAATAGTAATTTTAAAAACTTAGGCAGACATAACCCTAAACACTAACCCTCTTAATTCGTTGCTTAAAAATGCACACAACTGTTGCATTCAAAAACTGCATACCAAGAAAACTTGAATCACCTTGGCTGCTGAATAATGTAGGACAGCATACAGAATAAGACAGATGTTCCACTGTACCTGGATTTACACCATGATCCAATAACAATACTGATAGGACTTCCTGAAACCTGCATGGTGAAGCAATGCTAAATTTAAAGTTCACTAATACTTCACTTATTACACTTTATATCTTCTCTGATAAGCGAGCTGAAGAAAGCAGCCTGAAGCAGACCCAAGGTTTATTGGGCTGTATGATGCAAGATTAAAGAAAATGGCCTTTCTGGTGTATGGAAAGCTAGCTGAAGTTCTGTCATGTCTTCCTGCCTGAATGGGCTCTATGAATACTTGAATATATCTGCAAACGTACTGTGGCTCTTGGACTCAGCTTGTACTTCAGAATAGCTTCTGATATCCAGAGTGAGAATAAGCTACCTAAGATAATGCTGTAAGCTACTCTTCCTGAAAAAATGAACAAACTTCTAAGTATTATCCTCCTCCTACATCACTTGAGTTACTTACCAAGAGGAACGGCCCTTTGGCCGCCCAGTCTCTTGAGCTTCCTGCACCATATTCCTTCCCAGCCAGCACAATCAAAGGATGGCCAGCCTGCTTGTATCTTTCTGCAGCATCGAACACATCCAGCTGCAATGAAAATACAAAACACTTTATATACTACTGTGGGTGAAAATACACTTCTATAGAAATAAGAAAACTGTGTTTTCACATTGAGAGCTGAAGCCCACACTTTATGCCACTTAACTGCACATTAAGTTACATGGTGCTTCGTGACTCCCAGCCTGAAGGCATTTCTACCACAGCCCACACTTTCCATTCTCACCACAAGTTTCTGCTCTCCATTGCTGAGCCTCAGAGCACCACCTTATGCAGGTATGTGTGACCTGCTGCCCTGAGTCAATGAAATCTTCAGTCTCCTCCTCAGCTTTACTTAAAAGGTGCTGAAATTAATGATGTAAGCTGTACGAAGCAAATCTAATGCTAATCCCACTTACTGCCAAGGAGCCTCATTTTAAAGCGGCGTGTATACTTACTGTTTCTCCTGAAGGGAAATGGACAGTCTGAGGTCCCTGTTTATCAATAAATTTGTTCACCAGACGAATGTTAGCAAATGTTCCTCTGGCCATAACAGCATCATTCCCTCTGCGAGAACCATAGGAATTGAACTCTCGAGGAGTCAAGCTATTAATGAAAAAGAAAAGCAGGGCTGTTGGTTTAAATGCAGTCATGAGCTAGTGTCCCTGAAGCAGCTATGGATCGCTCCTATCAGGGCAGCAGCACCCAGTTCTCTGGTGTTTCTACGGTTATTTAAAGAAGAAAAAAAGAACAGAAAAATAAAAAAATTAAAAAAAAGAAGAAAAAAGAACAGGCCTACTTAGCCTGGACATAGAAAGCAGCTGTACTGGTATTCTCATCCTGTGCCCTACAAAACATATCTAACAGTAATGCAGAGATACTGCTATCTCTGGGTCAGAAGAAGCAATACAATCCTTCCTTACGAATCATGAGGCAGCTTTTCTCAGCTTCACTCAATAGCTGGCTACTGAAATTTGTCATGGTTATTTGTATTACCACAGCATCTAGAGGTAGAGACACCACTGTGATAAATACCTATAGGGCAAAGAGAGAATCTTTGCTGGAAGTGAGACCTGAGGGAGAAAAACTATGTTTAAAAATATGGATGTGGGAATTAAAGGAGATTCTACCTCGATCAGTAAAGAAAAAAAAGTCACAACAATATGACATAAAATTGAACTGTTTATATTGGACTACACTCAGAAGGGAGCTATTTAGATTTCAAAGTGGGCCAAAGAAGCCAAAACAGTTAATCATCAGTGGACTGCACAGTTTTAACCAATTTTCTCTCCAAATTTATTAAATCTAGTGAAAATACTTAATTTCTAAGCTGTAAGTACTGTTCCTCAAAGCTCCACAGAATTTGTAAGCAAAGCTAAACCAGTGAATAAACAACTTATCACATTACATTGAAGAGTGAATAGGGAGACTCAGCAAGGCCTGGTTTTGTCTTACATTGAACCCACAGTACTGAACTGACAGCCTGTCCATAGCAAAGGAGCAGTTTACAACAGCTTCTAGGCTAAAGGCAAGAGCTGTGCCAGTCATTGCAGCTGCACTGAAACCCAAAACTCTGTAGTTCGTGATATCCTAGCTCTATGAAATTGCTGTACGTGCTATAAGTGAGTGCAGAACCAGTTTTTGACCCCAAGGACTGTGACCATTCCGAACCATCATATTCCATACAAACATCTTCAGTTCTCAAGCTGAATACATCTGCACACCCTACACAAGCTTTTAGAACCAGTGTCAAACGCTGAAACAACACAGGAATGCTTTCTCTTCTTCTTTTACGTATTCTCCGAGCATCATCCAAGGTACACAAGTGTCTGTGAACAGACAGCTGATGTGTGTCCATAACATGGCATAGTAACTGTGGCTCGTTTCCTCTTCCCAATCTGCAACAGGAACAAGAATGTACTACTTACCCTCTGCTGGTCAAATAACGGGCTGCAGGACTATTCCTTGCTATATTCCCAGCTGGAGATATGTGGTCCGTTGTCACAGAATCTCCAAAATTCAACAGGACATAAGCATCTTCTATAGTTTTGGGCGTCTGCAGAGCCAAAGTCTAAGCCACCACAAGTACAAAGAACATGATTTTAATATGATACACAATTCCCTTACCTTTCTCAAAAAGACAAAATATGTAGAAGAAATCTGCAAAATAGAGCCTCCCTTTACATGTAAGTTAGGATAAAGAAAAAAATGGTATGAAAGATACAGTCATTCTTAAACCAAGTATGACATCCTGGCTCTCTGTCAGCAAATTCGTGTATGTATAAAATAGATGAGGCAAAAAAGCTAGCTGAGGGCTTCAACAGCACATGCATGAACACAGAGGAAAATCCACGATTCCTGGACATCTGCATGCACTGAAATCTGCATTTTCCTTTAAACAGTGCTGAAACTGCATCTGAGTGCTGAACTAATTAGTGCAAAATGCAGGCAAGAATATATATGGGTTCCTTTCTTTTTCCTTCATTTGTTCTGTTACTACTTAAAACTATCCCAGCTTAACAAGAAAAGGGGTATGTTCAAAACTCTTGAAGCAGCAGAGAATCCTTGCAATTTTTAGACTGGCTTGTGCCTGTGTATTAAAATGAATACAATGAGTGTGATGATAACAGCTCAGAAATGAAGTCTCAGCAGGCTATCATGGATGCTTCTGGGCGCCCTGATGCGCCCCTGCTTCACCCTCCAGGTTAGTCATGGTTGCTGTAGCGTTTGGCCTGATTCGAAGGGGGAGTGCACACTTACCAGACCATCAAAGAAAGGCGGAGACTTGATGTATGTTGACTTTGGATTCCAAGTATACAGCTTGTCAGAGGGAGCATCTAAGGCATTCCAAGATTCATTTACTGTCTGAAAAACATGTAAACATTCCATCTCTAAGTTTTCAGAAGCAACAGATTTGATTTCTGCAAAAGCCTTGTATTTTTTCAGGCTTTTGGGAAGTTCTTGTGCCACTCTATTCTTTTTTGCTTTGTTTTAATGACTCTACCTATTAGAAGAACAGGTAAGGAAATGCAAGCTCACTCCCTTCATTGCAGACGAAGAGCTACTCGCCCATTTTTCTAGCATTTATCTATGTTATGAAGGCAGACAACATTTTATAACTCTCAAAGAAACTTTTCTACCACTTAAACCCCAAGAACATTTTGTTTCAGTAGCTGAGGAAGACTTACAGGAATACCTTACCAAGTACAAGTTTTTCTCTGCCATTAATGCTATCAAGTAATGCAGATGAATTTTATGTCATCTGAAGAAAAATATCTGTGAGGCTGGAACATCTCACTTTCTAATATCAGCCTAAAATAACTGTTTAAAGCCCATAATCTGCAATATTCAGGACACGACCAGCCATAAGAACTAATTACATAGCTAGGAGTCATTTGCAATAATAAATAAAACCTCACTTGAATATTGCCACAACCAGAGCAACAGAAACAGAAGGAAAAGGTTCTTTTCACTGTCTAAACCTATTCACTTAACATCTTCAGAATGGCACAGCACATAAATAAAACCACTTCCCAAAGGATTAACTTGCCTCTATTTTTTGGTAGACCTCCTTGAACATCCCAGGAATAACAAACTGACGCTCAACAGCCTGTATCTCATTTCGTGTTGGCCAGATGTCTTGCAGGAAAATCTTCTTCCCTGAAGCATTTATTCCTATATAAATTGATAATGTTATATACATGTTATATACATGTTCCATTAAGAAAAATGAAAGTGTGCCTTCCAGCTGTGCGTTCCTTCCAACCCAACAAAAACTCACGAGAAACACCCTTTTTCAACTACAAGGATCTGACAGATGATAGCCTCACGAACTTGTTGCCTGTACATATGCCTACTTTTGTGATCTCTATTGGTCTTTCAGAATATTTGTACAATAATTTAGGTTAGAAAGGACTACAAAGTTTGTCAGGTTGAATTGCCTACTCAAAGAAAGTCTATTAGATCGGGCTGCTCATGAAAAACCACCACCCATATGTAATCAAAATGTCTCCCATGGAATTAGAACATAAGGCAAACATGGTTTTCCCCTTCCTCCAACATATAGACCAATTTTTGCTCTCCTGCTTGACAACTGCATGCTTAGTATCCCAGACGTGCTCACACATTTGGAGTATCTCCGTGGGACAAACGTCTCTTAAGAGCTCAATTCCAACTAGTTCCATTTATGAGGTATGAGAAGAAGCACCCCATGTCTTACCCAAAGGCTCTTTCTCAAAGTCAATCCGGACAGTCCCTGCAATTGCGTAGGCTATGACCAGCAGTGGGGAGGCTAGGTAGTTAGCACGGGTGTTGGGATGCACACGCCCTTCAAAGTTCCTGTTGCCAGACAAAACACCCACTGCTACGAGGTCTCCCTGCAAGAGTTTGAGACAAGGAAGCTGGTGCAGCAGGTTTGCAGAGTTGCATCATGCTGCAACATCAGTAAGATGACAAGGAACTGTCTCCTTCCAAACGATCCCCAGGTACCTCCCAAAGAAAACTGCATTTACTTCGTACACACCTGACAAGGTTAAGCTCAATACTGCACAGAGAATAACTTACCTATATAGAATGCACATGGAAATCTGACTGATGCATACCTGTAAGATGGCTTCAACAACGGAGTCTGGCAGGGGTCCGCTATTGCCAATACAAGTCATACAGCCATAACCCACGACATCAAACCTAGACAGAGCGTGGAAATCATCAAGGAATTAATAAACTATTTTGGAGTTAGGTGTTTAACACCTTAGCAATTAACTCCTTAGCTTACTTTCAGAAGATGTACTGTTTTAACAAATCCGCTGCTGCTGAAAACAGCATTTTCCAGAATGACCACTTTTTATTACTGCAGTGACACTCCATGTATACAGAGCAAAGAGCTGGGAAACTGCTATCTAGCAAGATGAACAACAATATATTGCCATTTATGCTATTTTAAAGCAATTATTCTTGAAAAAGAATCCATTCTCCTGCATAGGAACATGAGTCTTCAAGAAGGCAGTAAGCCCTTTCCCTGCTTGGGACTAAGTCAGCCAGCACAACAGCAATGCACTAATTCACACAGGAGCATGTTGTAGAGCATCTGCCTATCTTCTAATCTGTGCAGACCAAGAGTTATTCCACTGCAACACTTGGCAGTGCTTACAGTTACACACTGGACAACAGTAAGAAAGGCTTACTTACCCCAGCTGAGAAAGGTAACTCATGACTCCACTCTCTCTCAGATAGTAAGTGACAACGCCACTTCCTGGGGACAGGCTAGTTTTGATGTAAGGCTTCACTGTCAAACCAGCTTCAACAGCTTTCTTGGCAAGCAATCCTGAAAAATGCAAAGGATAGTTGCAGTTTTTCCTGGACGTGGAATAGTTTGGTGGATCAACAGGTTAACAGCAGTGTCATTAAATAACTGGAGAGCCGAAAAGGACTACAGCACTGATTACAGAGTAACCGGCTAGAGTACAAACGCACTGTTGAACTGTAAACCCAGTCTGCAATTTCTGTTTCTCATGGGAAATTACACTCAACAAAATGCACTCACACAGCGGTGTCATGCAGACATTCAGAACTCCAATGGTTAAACAAACAATAGCCATAAGACAAACATCTCACCAAAAATGAAGGATTGTTACCTTCCCACCTCTGGCAGCTTAGTGCTGAAATAACAACCAACCTATTGGTGCACTCACACAAATTGCTTCCGAGTGCAGCAGCTGTCATCATCACAATTCATTATTAGAGTGCTATTTTACCAGTCCTTATTTGCAGTGTGCATGGAGATGATCTAGTGGAATAGATATGTTGCCAGAAACGTACTGATTCTGACCTTCTTCCACTTAAATGAGAGTTCATGTGTGCTGGCAATGCCCAACAAGTAATTTTTACCTTTTTTCAATTGTAAATGGTAATTTTTTTCCAAAACACACCTACTTGCATGAGAAAGTATACGTGAGCTCTGCTCTGACCCAGCAGGAGCTCCAGCAGAAAGATAATCATCACACTAATTTGCTTTTTGTCAGCTGTTCGGTACTATTAGACATGCCATGGAGAACTCCTCTTAGAGTACTCTGTGAGAAGGCCCAGACCATTATACTTGGAGGCCTAGCAGTAGATTATATATCAAAAAGTAGCCCCATTCTTGAAATGGCTGAGGCCACCTAGCTGTCAGAGACAGCTGTTGTAAACTGGAGTTCCTGCATACTCGGTAACCACGAACAAATGATCACACTAAGATCTGAGAGGCTGACAGCCCCTCTGAAAGCTTTGGCTTCTGCTTTCCTGCAAATATCAGCTCTGAAACACAAAATCAAGCTCTAAACCACGCAAGGAAATGACAGAACTTCAGTTACTCAGAGAAATCTCAATCCAACTCTCACAAAATCAGACTAGGCTGTCAAGGCTACTACAGTATATGCACACTGCCCACACAAACATACAGCCTCCCCATACCATTTAGAGCACAGAACATCCTTTTGTAGATTGAAAGAACTGCCCGTATTTTGCATTTCTTTTAGCACTGTATGTTTTATTTAATTTAAAACTCAACTTTGAATAAGAAATTATCACCCTTCCTGCGGATATCTCTGAGGGTTCTCAACAAGGTAGTGTATAAACAGTTAACAGAGAATGAGAGAATTATTCTTTCCCTGCTTGACAAGGCCAAAGAGCAAGGCAGCAAAGGTTACAGCTGCTACTGAATCTGAGTCAGTGTGCTGAGATCCTTGGCACTGCATTTTTCAGGCTGCTGTGTATTACGCTGCAGTGAATGCATTCAGAGCACTAACTTGATAGCATCTGCAGAGACTTCTGTGCATCAAACTCAAATTTAAGCATCAAATTTAAGCTAGTAAGCTAATTAGGCCGAAAGACCAGAATCTCCATGCCACAGCAAAGAGAAGTAAAATGCATACCATTAGCCTGGAAGCCAAAGGTTTGGGGAAACTATGCTGCACTGGTGGAACAACTGAAGGATACACCCAGCTAGAACTAAAGGAAAAAAACTGAGCAAAGATGGTCTGCCTGCAGGAAAATCACTTCTCAATCCTCAGAAGAACAACAATTGTGATCATTATCAGGATGGACCTGATCCAGTTGTCCCGTTAAGGGCAAGTGAACTGGGAAACACTAACCTTGTTCCTCTCAAAGGTGCAGGACACAGAGACGGCCTGTGATGCTGCTGGAGCATTGAAGGTGGGAGAAAACAGATCACAAATTTTTACAGATGAAGAGGAAAACAAATGTTTACCTCATGTTTCTTCTGAGGAGAGCTCTGGCAAATGAAGTATCTTCTCAGCCATCAGCTTTTCACAGAATCTCTGGCTACTGGTTGAAAGTGAGGAATTTAAGACCACTGGATAGCCTTACTTATTTACTATGCTGCAATCCTTGAATAAATGTCTAAGGTAGAAGTACTGGGTAGGAAAGGACCTTTGAGAGTCTTTCAGACTGAAACCAAGAAAAGCTCGATTCATTGATTTAATCTGCACAGATTCCCCAAAATAAAACGTGACTGCAAAAGGCATCCCTCACTTCCTGAATTTGCAGCAGAGGAAGAAGCACTTGCTGCTCATAGAAAGGTACATCAGTTGCTCCTAAATGAACCAACTCCCACAGCATTCTGGTGGGAGGGATGGCAGGTCCAATAACTTAAGTCTTGGCAACACAGGAGATGAGGACAACAGAAAACATTCTGGTCTTTATTTCTTTCTGTCTGTTTTCAGGTATTTTAAGGTAGCTAGCATTGCTGAGTAGTAGAAACACGGATAAAATATATTTGGGTCGTATCAAATATATCAAAGATAGAAAAATCAGGATATGTTTAGTCTGTTTATTCACATATATCTGCAACTTATCTTGTTTTAGTCAGCTTAAGGTGTAGCATTAAACTGACCAACAGACATTCTAATACCAATACCTGTCTTTAGAAATTTGTTTTAGTTCCTGTATCTTGCTGTCTGTCAACCTCAAAATGATAGCAGCTATTCTACTTTGCATTTTTTAGTTACTCTTCAACTATAAGCCATGCTTCAAGAGAGATTATCCACAACTACTTGAACACTGCAAGCCAAGAGTTGCCCAGAAGAGAGATGCCCTGGCTGAGTCTGCCTTGCAGAGAGATCTGAACACAAACCACCTGAGGAGCAGCGCAGGTACCCACCCCACACGGGGAGCAGAGCAGAGCACAAAAGGAGCCTGCTGGTGGCAGAAAAGGAAGAAGGCACACGGACAATGTGGTACCCATTGGTCCCCCACCACTCAAGTGCTCCAAGAAAGCCACCACCTGAGCCCCATACAGCACCGCTCCAACCCTGCCAGACCCTGCTGCTGCAGCAGGGAGGGAAAAGTACCAGCCCCCTCCCTGCTGCCACCAAGCAGCAGCCAGACCTTGGCTGCTATTCCTGCTCCTCCACCTCACAGTGCTCTATCTTTCACGGCACACCGTTTTACAACTGGCCCATCACCGTTGGAGCTTCTCCAGCTCCCACAAGCACCACAGCTGCAGGCTCCCTGGGCCACCCTGTCTTTCCTTAATCAATCCTTTTGCAATGCGGGCAGCTGCCATTCTTATGCCACCTGCCTGGCAGCCCTGGGCAACCCAGCACTGCTCAACTTGCACCTGCAGCTCCAACAGGGCAGACACAGGTAATGAGCCTGCACCTCAGTGAAAACAGTGGGGACAGCCACGCTGTTACAAGTTCCTAAGTTACTAATTCATAGTTCTGGAAATTAGATGTGTGAGTAATACACCTTCTCAGTCATCATGTCCTTTTAATTTATTTATTTAATGGTTCTGAAAGTGAAATAATGAAAGGGCTTCACCTGCCATGTCCTTTTAGTCATGCTTTCATTAATTTATTTGATGGTGAAATCTCAGGCTGAATTTGTGTTTTGCCTCTCAAGAGAAGTAGAAGCAATGATTCTAACATCAACTGAATGGCTTTCTGTAAGAGTCAATTTCTAGATTCTTAGCAGTAGAGACATGTAAATAAATAACAACAATAACCAAATACTATTGATTTCAAGAGATAGCTTCCCTTATGAACTCTTTTAAGTGATACTTTCTGATTTACACTGCTATCAACCATGAGTTATACTATGGCACTGCTGATCCCTACTGGTGGGAATCCTTCCCATACATTCAATCATTTCAATACTTCTCTTCAATACATCTGAAGATCACCTTAGAGAAACAGTACATTGCTGAAACACGAGCTGTATCTTACTGACAGACAAATGTATAAGGCAACTTGTTTGGTACAACTACCTTAGCTCAAATTTTATCTATTCATATTCACACCAACTGTATTATATGACAGTATTTCAATGGTGACAAGCAAGAGAGTGGGAGAAAAAAGTTCACCTAGGACCATTTCTTGGATACAGTTCAAGTGAAAATGACAAGGCTCTGGGGGACAGAAATTCCAGAGAGGACATTTTTCCTCATTTATGTGTCCTTACCTACCCTCAGACAATTGTTCATACAGCTAAGCATATGCTTCATACTCCGCTGACAAATAAGAGCACCTCCAGATTTAAACCAACAGACCCTTCTTCACAGACCCTTTCCCTGCAGTGCTGACTTTCAGTAGTCCCTCCTCAGCTTCTATCACAGATCTACAGAGCTGTTTTTGTGCATCTAATCAAGTGTCAGAGGTGCTGGTTAATTCAGCTCCAGTTTGACCTGGAGAGAAAACAGTGCAGGAAAAACTTCAACCCACATTTCCAGCTACTATGTCCAGAATTTCTTCTGCTACTCCCTAAGGACTACTCTCAATTCTAGTATGCCAAATGATGAAAACAGAGTTAGGGTTGTCTTTGTCTTCACAACACACAGCCAGAGCCATAGAAAGACTACTGCACATAAAACCAAGCAGATATACTTACCTGCTCCCAACATGACTGAGGGGTTACTGGTATTAGTACAGCTTGTAATGGCAGCAATCACTACTGAACCATGAGACAGCTCGAAGTCACAGCCCTCAAAGTTAAATTTGACTATGCTGTTGTGTCGATCTGGGGCAATCTGGAATCCCTTGAATCCTTGCTGTAAGAGGAAAAAGAAAGAATCAAAAAGGATGCCTCCAATGTTAATAATTTGACTGGAAATCAGCCGCAAACTTCCTGAATGAGAAGTGTGTGCAGTCACACCAGTGCTTGCACTGTGCTGGAGGTTTGCATCTTTGGTCAAAGTGGTGGACAAAAATAATTTCCATTGCTCTATATTCCACTCTCTTTTTACTGGTAAAACAGCCTTCAAAGCAAAAGTGTTTGGGTTTTCTTCCTGCATGAATGTATTCCCCTTTAGTATGCTCAGGTGCTTCTGACCTACTTGCTCTGGATTCCTGATCACATACTGGAAAGCAAAGATTCCCCAAGATAGTCTTGCTACACAGCCTAGTCTGAGATTTTAGGCATAATATGAACAACTTTTAAGCTGCAAAAATCAAAAAACACAAACATATGTTGCAAAATGATTTGAGACAGTTGATAAAAAGCAAGAAGACACTGTTTGCAGCATAAAGCAGTAATTTTAGAGATTTAGAATGATAAGGTCCTTTAGTGCAATTAGAAACGTAACAAATCACTGCAGTTAAAACTTCTTGATTTAAATCGCTGAAGTGCTGCACTGCTATTTAGCAGGTAGAGTTATTCTATGAGGTTATCAGGGAGGGGTACCATATCAAGTAAAGATTCAAACTGATTTTGTAAGTGTACAAGTTTGGGCCTAATATTTTGAACTAAAATCTTGCTTTTCTTTCAATTACAATTTTTCACTGGATGATGTAGAGAGAAGTCACAATATTCTCTAAATGTCTTTTATTCTGTCACTAACATCAATGTGAAAGAGTCATAGACAGAATTAGCTTTGAAGTGCTGAACTTGAGTAGAGAATGCAAAAATACCTTGCAGATCTCAAGACTTAACACACTTTGAAAGCCCTGATGTGGAGCTGGCCAGCCATCACACAGGTCAGTGCAGCAGCTACTTTGTCCAAACTACAACAGTACCCAACATAGCTTTTTTTTAGAGATCCCAATCACACAACAAACCTGCATTAGGCCTAAGACTGGTCTAAAATCAGAAGGAACCGTACTTCAGTAAGACAGCCAACAGTTCCAGGTGAAAGAACGTTCAAAAGGAACACTGACATCATTTTCTATCCTGCCTTCAAACACCAATCAAGCACTTTCATTCACTTCTCAACAGGAAAGCAAGGAACAAACTAGTCAATCCCAGAATGTAGTTCCTAAACTATTTTAGAAGCATACGGTAGTTTGTAGACACATATGTTCCCAGTCACCTTTGCTCCCAGACAAGTCTCAAAGTCCTTCTTCATATCTGACACAGCAACTTTGTCCTGGGGTCTTTTTGGTCCGCTGCAGCAAGGCACAACAGTATGAAGATCCAACTCAACAACCTATTCAGTAAGAACAGCAGAGAGGGATTCAGCACTTATGACAAGCTGAAGCCACTTAAGTCACACGTGAGCTCTGCTTCATTGCTGAATTAATGCTAAGCCTGCACATGGTTATGTTTGTGAGAATCATCAGAGACATATGAGAAGGGACAGATCAGAAGAGTAGGAACAGTTCTACACTAAGACCCTGCTCACTCCCAGGTGTGGCTCCCAGAAGTAGCCCAATCATTGAAAGCTCAGTGTGTGATGGAATCATCTGAACAATGTAGATGGTGTAGAGAATTACGTCCTTTCACATACTAGTAACAGGATCCTTTTCAGAAAACAATGCTGAGGAGGAATTCTGATACTGGCATCAACCAGAACAGGCTACTTATGTGCACCCTAGGGAAAATATTCAGAGAACTATTAGGAAAACAAAAACACTATCATAGTTTCTTATTCCCCACCCACGTTTCAACTTTGTTTTTATAGTGTTTCTTTCTATTTTTTTTTTTTTTTTTAATAAGCATGCAAAACTGAACATAAGTTAAAAAATTGAACTAATCTTGAGTTGCCTAGATGTAGACTATGATCTTGATTTTGTTGCACAGAAAAGAGCTTGTTCGGTATCCAGTTAGCAAACAAAGCTTTGGAGTCTCCTTATCATGCAGCAAAGTAAGTTGCTGAACATGCAAGGGAAAAACATGAGACAAGGCCTACAGAGAACACATCTGCATTATCTTCAAGAGCTCTGTTCATTTCTGGACCAGAGTTCTCAAAAATACATGGAACCAGTCATGCTATCTGCAGCAGCTAAAGTTCAGCTGACAGTTAGTCTATACTGATGACCAAATTTTCACATCTGGAGACTCAGCTAGCTGGCTCAATTCAGAACTCAGTGGAATAAGACAGCTGTACAGATAAAGTCAATGGAACAGAAGGAGGAGTACTTTGATTAGTTTTAGTTACTTTAAAAAAGAGACAACAGTCACATTAAAATAGGGCAGGTCATAAAAAAAAGGAGCCAAAACACAGTAATTTCTAACCTGTGTGAAGTCTGGATCCTGAGAGGAGTTCTTGAAATCTCTCAGCATTCCCACAGCCTCAAGATACTTTTTGGTGCACAGAACTTTCTCTTTATCACGGCCTGTGGCGAAAACCAGATACAGGACAAAAAACAAAAACACAAGTGGACCTGAGGAACAACTACTTGACAGAAAGTACAGGCTATTTCACACTGTTGTGAACACTATTCCACACTGCACTGTGCACAAAAGGACTCTTCCAACACATGTACTAGGGACTCCCTAGAAAGAGATTAATTGAGCAGACAGTGGCTTCTGCAGAACAAAAGCAGCTTAGGTTCCTGCTTCTGTAATCTGGACAGCCCTTGTTCAAGGAGGGCTAAGCAGACAGTTACAAGACAACCTAAAATTCTGCTCTTCCTAAATACGGCTTCTAACACTAAAAGCAAGAAACAAGCTGAATAAGCAAATACATGATAAAAATACATGATAAAAGCTTCGAGCTAACAAGGCTTCACCATATACACTTTGGGCTTCTATTCACTTCGGCCTTTGATCCATGTCTCTTCCTGTAACTAACCTGTTTGCACCAGGTATCCAATGCTGATATCATCCACTGGGAAATAGGCAGCTGTTGCCCCATACTCTGGACACATATTGGCAATGGTGGCTCGGTCAGCAATTGACAGCTGGGCTACACCAGGACCAAAAAACTCCACAAATTTACCCACAACTCCAACTTGGCGAAGGTGCTGTTATAAAAATACAGTGACTACATCATCAATAGGTATCAGGAGACTTGAGTAAAAATTCTACACACATTTTAAAGCAGGAAACTATATATAGTAAACTACATTAGGAAAAAAAAGGCAGAGAGCTGCAAATTCCCAAGAAGATAAAAGGCACAGGCATGTGGTGTTCCTTCTGAAATACTCTGCCTCTCACTTAAATTAGTGTCTATCTTCGAATAACTGCATTTATCCTAACTTCTCTCTCTAAGGAGAAAACAGTGCGCACTCTTTTGCCAGTGAACTCTTGCAGGCTAGGGAACAAGAATAGCCATCCCCACAAGAATCAAACTGCAAATGTTTGAAAACACAACATTTGGATGGACTTAAAAAAAAAAATTAACTTTCCCCAGCTGGAGGTTCTCTCTAGAGCCAGCAACCCATGATGAACGAATCTACCAGACTGCTGAGCTTCAACTCAACATTACGGCTGACTCAGTTGATACTCTCAATTCAGTCACAAGCTGCAGAGTGAATAAACATATTATGAGCATGTGAGCAAAATGCCCATAAATCAAAGACCTCAGACTGTAGAACTTACTGTTTTCAGCTTCTACATTGCCTCATTCTAAGCGTGGCCTTCAAAAGAGAGCCATTCTGTTTATTTTGAGATGATGAAGAATTGAGAACTTTGTACAGTGCTGCTCCAAAATGGGCCTACATGTGAGGAATTAAACAGGCCTTTAGGCACCAGCACTCTGCTCTATTTTATCTACATTTTGGGAAACAGATTTGCATAACAAATTTGGGTAGTTGATTCCAATCCACAGAGCAGTAAGTCTGAAGCATCAAAACAACTACATGGAAGCATACACAGGGATCCTGAGTACACAGCACATTTTCAGCAGTAATGACCAAAAAAAAAAGGCATGTTCATTACCTTGGTAATGGTGAGCACTATGTCAGTGGATGTTACCAGGGGCTGAGGGTTTCCTAGCAGCTTATAGCCAACCACTTCTGGAAGCACCATGCTGATCGGCTGGCCCAACATCACTGCTTCTGCTTCAATGCCACCAACACCTGGAAGCAACAGAACTAAACCATCAGACTATCCGAAAGACACACAAGAGTCAAATAAACCTACGAGGTAAGTATTTTACGTTGACTTAAGTTGAGAGAAGGCACACAGTAAAACACGGCTGAGACCTCTGTGAACAGATGTTTGTCTTCGGTTTTCGCAAGGCTGTTTTTTTGTGCAAGGTTAAGCTTTAGTTCCATATTTCTAGCCTTGATCCTCAGCCATCAGATGGGATATTAGATAAATCTAAGTAACTCACTCAGAAGAGACTTGGATTTCACAGTGAGCAAACAAAAGTTTCATTTAAAGACTTAAACATGGCATGAATAAGCAAAGAACAAAACCCCTCACAGGGCACAGAACATTGGTGTGCTGTTTGTGAAACATACAGTAACTACTGGTTATCAATCAAAAGCAGACAAGTCGTTTTACAGGAAGGAAAGTTTACTCTACTCAAAGATGTAGGTTGTTCCCTGCCCACGGAATTGGGTAGGAGCTAGTTGATCCTTAAGATCCATTCCTAACCCAAACTATTGTATGATTCCATAATTTTGAAGCATACAGACCATTCTGCCAACAGACCATTCACTATGAGCTACTCACATACCCCAGCCAAGCACTCCCAAGCCATCTACCATGGTGGTGTGTGAGTCAGTGCCCACCACGCTGTCGGGATAGTAGTAGCCATCCTGATCCATCACCACTCTTGCTAAGTATTCCAGGTTCACTTGGTGGATGATCCCGGAGCCTGGTGGAATAATCCTCATGTTTTTAAAAGCCTGAGAGCCCCACTGAAAAAAAACGTAGAGTCAAAAGTTTTTAACACATGTGAGCACTGGAAGAATTTACGTCTGTTCCATCTTTGGTCATGCAAATAAGATTAACTACTTCAGTACCTTTAAGAACTCAAACCTTTCTTTGTTCCTTTCAAATTCCAAATCCTGATTCTTTTGCAAGCTGTCTGATCTGCAAGTGAAAATAATCATCTGTCACAATCAAAAGGATCCACCTGATACGTGTGGTTAAATACGCCAAAATGGTGAAAGAAGAGTTATTAGTTAATTTTAATGCTGATCAATTTCAGCTTTTAATGTCATCACAGCAGCAAAACAAAGGTAATCAATACTGCTCGTAAGGTAAGCAATATTGCTTACTTAAGAAGTTTAGTTTAAATCTGAGCACTGGTCTGCATATCATACACATGGTTGGCTTGAATCTTGTATTTTGGGAAAAGGTAGACTACATCTGCATCAGAGCAATGTGAAGTTTTCAAAGCCTTGATAAATACGAGGAAACCAGAAAAGCAGAAAGGCGAACTGGAACACAACTACCTTGCAGTTTAAATTAAGCAGTAGCTACCCCCGTGCTTTAAGACAGAAAGGGCTAACAAACTTTCCACTTATACCAGCTCCCTAACCTAGGGCCGAAGGGTTTGAAAGAACTAAAGCCCAGAACTGGACAATATTCTCTGCACACCTACAAGGTCCTAGTAGAATCAGAACAACGCTGGGACAAAAAGTAACTACCAGCCAAAAATTATCAAAGTAAAGTCCTGAATAGGACTGATAAAATGAAAGTTATTAAAGTAGACAGGAAAAGTGATCAAAACAGTGGGAAAGTGGGGGGAAAAAAAAAATTGTACTATTTTCCAAATATCTCATAAAACTGATGCAGATGTCATTTACAAGTTTTAAAATGTTAGGCTTCCAGTTTATTTAACCGCTGCTAAAACACCCACTAACTCACTGGTAAGTCTCATTTTTAATTTTGTGACTGTTTCTAAATTGTTCAGTGTTAAGATTCACAATAACCTCTACAAAAATTTAAAGGCAGCTTATTTTTGACAGGAGTGTATGTCAAAACATTTGGCCTTTTTTCTCCCATCAGTTATGAAACTGAAGCAGTGAGCTTGTGCCTCTATAAGCCTTTAGCCAAAAATATTAAAAAAAAAAAAAAAAGGAAGAAAATGGTTACATTTAAAACTTTCCATCAACATCCCGCTCTGAAATAAGTTCTATGTTACATCTCTGCTCTGAAGTTCATTATTTTTACTTAGCAGAGCCCCTGAAATATTGGCGCTGCTAAAACGTTCTTTGTGATCTTTTATTTCTGCTTTTTATTCTTTTTTTTTTTTTTTTTTTTTCTGTAATTTAAGAGGCCTGCTTCAAAACTATCTCTTACAGAGCGCAATAAATACAGAGCATTTCTGCAGGCAAGGCAATTGCAGACCAACAAACTTCAGAAGTTTGGTACACAGAAGGAAACCACAAAGAAACACGCACTGGCAAGATCTGTTCCAAAGAGTATTTTGGTAGACTCGTGTTTACATATCAGGGTAAAAGGAACCCTCTGTAAAGGTCTTAGATTTAACTGTGAGTCTATGAGCATTCGTCTGCCTGCAGCACATTCAGGATCGGCCTGCATTATGCTTCTTTCCTATACTTTTACTAGACATATTAATCAATATCTTGTGCTCTTCCCTGGGGAGGCAGAGAACCAGCAAACAGCTGGTCAGGGCAGCTCAGGTCTGCTGTTACACAAATAAGGAAGGAAGGAGACAATCTTGCCTATCCTTTCCACGAAGCCCCAAAGGTCAAAAAGTGCAAGTGGAAAAAAGCTATTTCTGAACAACTAATAATAATGCAGTATTATGATGGAAAACTGTGATCACCAGAGGTCTGGACTGAGCCTGTTTCTACTGACATTCAGTCCAGGCTTGTGTGGCTGAGAAAGGCATCACAGAAGGAATAACATTTCTATTTTGTTCACAGCAACTGATGCAACACTTTGACTTCATCATTTCTCAAGTTCTACAACGTTCAAATGCTTAGAATATCACCAACTGCATTACCAGCTTCCTAACATCAAGAAGTAAGAGATGTTTTGAGATTCTTACCGCCTGTTAAAATCAACCTGGATGGAGTGATCTATCACTAGATCAGCAGGACAGATAGGATTGATTTTTTCAGGGTCCCCACCAAGTTTCTTCACAGCATCACGCATTGCAGCAAAGTCAACAACAGCAGGTACCCCACTAAAATAGAAGATAATTAGACAATGTGAAAGGAGAAAAAAAAAAAGGCAAAACAAATACAGCCAAAGTCCTGAAACTCAGAAGAGATACCTGAAGCCACACAGGAAGCAAACTATGGTCTCACCCTAAGTCTTGGGATTGTTACTCTGCTTCAGAGACAGTATTCTCTGTACTGTGTCCAGTTTTGGGCCCCTCACTGCAAGAAAGATATTGAGGCCCTGGAACGTGTTCAAAGGAGGGCAACAAAGCTGGTGAGGGGTCTGGAACACAGGCCATATGAGGAGAGGCTGAAGGAGCTGGGAATGTTCAGCCTGGAGAAGAGGAGGCTCAGGGGAGACCTCATTGCTCTCTATAACTTCCTGAAGGGAGGTTGTAGTGAGCTGGGGGTCGGCCTCTTCTCTCGTGCCATCAGTGATAGGACCAGGGGGAATGGTTTCAAGCTACGGCAGGGGAGATTCAGGCTGGACATGAGGAAGTATTACTTTTCAGAAAGGGTGGTCAGGCACTGGAATGGATGCCCAGGGAGGTGGTGGAGTCACCGACCCTGGGGGTGTTCAAGGAAAGGCTGGATGTTGTGTTGAGGGACATGGCTTAGTGGGAGCTATTGGGAATAGGTGAACGGTTGGACTGGGTGATCTTTTAGGTCTTTTCCAACCTTGGTGATTCTATGATTCTATTCATAGGCAGATGAATTCAGAAGAACAGGAGAGACTGAACTGTATCTGCATTCTGAGTGCTGTAACAATGAAAAACTAAAACCAAAATTCATCAAAGTTCATCAGGGAGATTAACGTGGCTGGGACTCTAGAAAAAATAGTTCAATTCAGCATTCCTTTGGGTCCTTGAATTTGTTTCTCTTCTTTTGCTCTGTTCTGCTCTCCTTCCCAGTACGCTTTAAAGAAAAACAAAAACAAAACAAAAAATTTGGGGCAGGCAGAGCAAAAAAACAACTGTGTCCTTCTTTCCATTCTCTGCTATGTTTATCAGCTGATTTCAGGGCAAAGGCCATCTCTTCCAAGGTTTGTAAAATGCATGAGAATCTTCTTCCTGATTGGAGGACTGAAGTCCCTGGGGGACTTCAATTATGCAGATATTTGCTGGAAAAGCAATGTGGCCAGGCATGAGCGGTCCAGACGGTTCCTGCAATGTGTTGAAGACAACTTCCTGATGCAGGTGGTGGAGGAATCGACAAGGAGAGGGGTACTGCTGGACCTTATTCTCACTAATAGAGAAGGGCTTGTCAGGGAAGTAAAGGTCGGGGGCAGCTTGGGTTGTAGTGACCACGAGATGGTGGAGTTCAAGATCCTGAGTGGAAGAAGTAAAGCAAAAAGTAGGATTGCTATCCTGGACTTCAGGAGAGCCAACTTCAATCTCTTCCAGGACCTACTTGGAGCTATCCTGTGGGCTAGGGTGTTGCAAGGGAAGGGGGCCTGTGAGAGCTGGTCGGCATTTAAGCAGCTCTTCGTCCAAACTCAGGATCGGTGCGTCCCTGTGAGGAAGAAATCGGGAAAGGGTGGCAGGAGAGCTGTGTGGATGAGCAAGGAGCTCGTGCACAAACTCAAGGGAAAGAAGAAGGCCCATGAAATGTGGAAAAAGGGTCTGAGCACATGGGAAGAATAGAGGAATGTTGTCAGGGCCTGCAGGGATGCAACGAGGAAGGCTAAAGCCCGCCTGGAATTGAATCTGGCAAAGGGGATAAAGGATAAAAAAAAAGGCTTTAGTATGTTAACAGTAAAAGGAAGAGTAGGGAGAATGTGGCTCTCCTGCTAAGTGATGGGGGTGTGCTGGTAACGGGGGATGCTGAGAAGGCGGAGATACTGAATGCCTTCTTTGCTTCTGTCTTCAGTGAAAAAGCTCCCCCTCGGGAATCTGAGACCCTGGAGATTAGTGAGAGGATCTGGGGAATGGAAGACCCCCCTTCTGTCAGGGAAGAGGTGGTCCGGGAGCGCCTAGGTAACAGCAATGTTCAGAAATCCATGGGACCCGATGGGATTCATCCATGGGTGCTGAAGGAGCTGGCAGAGGTGATTGCTGAACCGCTTTCGGTCATCTTTGAGAAGTCTTGGAAGACGGGGAAGGTGCCTGAAGACTGGAAGATAGCCAACGTCACCCCGGTCTTCAAAAAAGGCAAGAAGGAAGACCCAGGCAATTATAGGCCAGTCAGCCTCACCTCTGTCCCTGGAAAGGTGATGGAACAGCTGTGCTGGATGTCATCTCCAGACAACTGGAAGAAGAGGAGGTTATCAGGAGTAGTCAGCATGGTTTCACAAGGGGGAGGTCGTGCTTGACCAACCTGGTAGCCTTCTATGATGTTGTCTCTGGCTGGGTGGATGGGGGGAGAGCAGTGGATGTAGTCTACCTTGATTTCAGCAAGGCATTTGATCCTGTCCCCCACGACATCCTTATAACAAAGCTGAGGAAGTGTGGGATAGATGAGTGGACAGTGAGGTGGGTTGAGAACTGGCTGACTGGCAGAGCACAGAGGGTCGTTGTTGGTGGTGCAGAGTCCGGTTGGAGGCCTGCAAGCAGCGGTGTTCCTCAGGGGTCTGTGCTGGGTCCGGTCTTGTTCAACATCTTCATCAATGACCTTGATGAGGGGATGGTGGCCACCCTCAGCAAGTTTGTGATGATACGAAGTTGGGAGGATTGGCTGACAGCCTGAAGGCTGTGTTGCCATTCAGCAAGACCTGGATAGGCTGGAGAGCTGGGCAGAAAAAAACCGGATGAGGTTTAACAACAGCAAGTGTAGAGTCTTGCATCTGGGGAGGAATAATTCCATGCACCAGTACAGGTTGGGGGATGAGCTGCTGGAGGGGAGCTCTGCGGAGAGGGACCTGGGTGTCCTGGTGGACGACAGGTCGGCCATGAGCCAGCAGTGTGCCCTTGTGGCCAGGAGGGCCAATGGCATCCTGGGGTGCATTAAAAAGAGCGTGGCCAGCAGGTCAAGGGAGGTGATCCTCCCCCTCTACTCTGCCCTGGTAAGACCTCATCTGGAGCACTGAGTCCAGTTCTGGGCTCCCCAGTACAAAACAGACAGGGAGCTCTTGGGAAGAGTCCAGCGGAAGGCCACCAAGATGGTGAAGGGCCTGGAGCATCTCTGCTATGAGGAAAGGCTGAGTGAACTGGGTCTGTTCAGCCTTGAGAAAAGAAGGCTGAGAGGGGACCTGATCCAGGTCTATAAATATCTGAGGTGTGGGGGGCAGAATGGCGAGGCCGGACTCTTTTCAGTGGTGAGTGGAGACAGGACAAGGGGAAACGGCCGGAAACTGCAGCATAGGAAGTTCTGCACCAATGTGCGAAGGAACTTCTGTACAGTGAGGTGACGGAGCACTGGAACAGGCTGCCCAGGGAGGTGGTGGAGTCTCCTGCTCTGGAGATGTTCAAGACCTGCCTGGATGCCGACCTGTGCGACCTGCTGTAGGGAACCTGCTTTGGCAGGGGGTTGGACTCGATGATCTCTGGAGGTCCCTTCCAACCCCTACAATTCTGTCATTCTGTGATTCTGTGAAAAGTGCCCTCCATGCCTCCACTACTTTTACTGGTAGAGCAAGGTATTCAAGACTTCCTAAAGAACAAAGGACCTGACTATAGAACACCTCTATTTTCAGAAGTGGATTTCATTTGGGAAACCCTCTTGCATATCAACGTATCCTACCGTGCTACTTGCTGAGACAAAAACGTTGTCCGTGATGTGTCTGTAATGATTTAATACCATTCAGTATCTCACAAAGAATGAGCTTCTGCAAGAGTAGCATATGGTAGCAAGAATTTGTTATGAACTCCTGATTATAAGAATGCTATTAAAATTTTAAAATATAGCAGAAGCCCTGCAGGAAGAATCATGGTTGAGGTGTCAGGAACATCTGGGGGTCCTCTGGTCCAGCCACCCTTCCCAAGCAGGGCCATCTACAGCAGATTGCCCATGCTTACGCATATCTCCAAGGACAGAATCTCTGCAATGTCTCCTGGCAATCTGTGCCAATGCTTCTCCTCCCTCAAGAAAGTAAGAAAGCATTTCCTCACATTCAGAGGGGACCTCCTGTTTTTCAGTTTGAACCCACTGCTTTTTGTCTGTCTGTCACTGGCACCACTGAAGGAGCCTCACTTCATTCTCTTTCCACCCTCCATGCAAGTACTTTCACAAACTGGTAAGAGCTGCCACTCCCCACCCCCCGCCCCGAGCCTTCTTTTCTCCATGCAAAAACGGCTCCACATTATCTAGCATTCAGCACTACCAGCTGTTGATGTTCAGTAGCTTGAAGCAGGTTGTTTTTGTTTTTTTTCCCCCAGAATATGCATACATTGTGGAAAGAAGCTGATGCCGCATTATGGATGGATCTGAGGGAGGGCAGGGGTGGAAGAAGGCGAGAGGAAGATTCATTTACCAATTTACAAACCTCATGCAACTGAAAAGAAGCAGAAATAATACTCATCTATATACTCAGAGGAACTCAGCATACCTGCAGAACAGTGAAATCTAGTAAATTCAATAACCCTAATCCACGATCTATGGATGTAATTGTTATGTGGCTTCTGTAAGGCTACCAAAAGCTCCGTTTTCTAAACACTCCCACTCAGGAACATGTTTTTGAATACAGCTGCTCTGCAGACTTAAAGCAAAACTTTTACAGCTCAGCTAGAAGGAAAGGAGTAAGAAAAGCAGTAACAAAGGGAACAAAGCTTGCTTATAAACTGGTTGCCTCCATACTCCTTTTTTTTTTTAAGGTTTGCAACAGCCAACAGACAAAAATGAGTATCTAGGAAAACAATACTTTTTTTTTTTTTTTTTCAATTGAAGCTCTGTTAGTTTTCCAAACATCTTCAAAAGTTGAGCTGTATTGGGCCCCCATCCAGTGGCCACCATATGGGGAAATGCAAACCAGGAGGTACAACAGGCAAGACACATTACACTCCTGAAGAATAAAATAAAGGGACAGCTTAGCAGCATGGGGCTTACCACAGAAGAACTGAGATCTCTGCTCTGTACAAAGGTACAGGACAAAAGTTCAAAGTAACGTGGACTTTCATGTCAAAAGCCCTATTAAAAACAGTTAGGAGTTACTGTTTCACCTGAAAATTTACTTTGCACATCTAACAGGGACTTACTAACATATGGGTATTACCACCACTGCAATAAATGGGCCCAGTCTCAGAGTCCATCAAGTAGGAATCTCAACTGACATTTTTGGGGAAACGTAGACATTCATTTTTTCAGAAGTCTTTAAAAATATACACTTGGAATAATAGTGATTTAGAACAGAAAGCAATGGTGGGGCTAATAAATGAGGACTGAGAAGTGTACAATATTAAAAGCTAGAGCCTCTCCAAAAACAAGGAAGAAAAAAAAGAAACCAGCAAAATCTCTTATTTCAAATTTCTCCATTTGCACGCAAACACATCCATCTTACTTTCTCTCCTTTTTTGGGGAACTTCATGAAGATATTTATTTCTGCATCTCAGAGGTACTTCACCTACGCTTTTATTACCAGCATTTGCCTCCCCAAGAGCTGTCTGCATACTAATATCCAGGAAAGCTGAACATAATCCTTCCCAGCATTTCACTGCTATCGCTTCTCTCAGCTCATCCCCTCCATCCCAAGCTGAGTAGTACTCCTGCAGATTCAAAAACCACTCTTGCTAGCTGTGGAGAGCATCAGACTCACGTGAAATCTTGCAGAATAACTCGAGCAGGCTTAAATGGCACTTCAACATTCTTGTGTTGCACCACTTTCCAGTTGAGAATATTCTCAACATCTTGCTTCTTCACTAGGAACTCGTCACAGTTTCGGATTGCTGCTTCCAAGAGGACTCGAATAGAAAATGGAAGGCGTGCTGCAGGGCAGGAGGTAATAAGAGGTTATAAACACAATGGCAAAATACAATTTTCTACCCAGAATGACTGAAAACAGTTTAGATGATTTAACCGTTTTCTTGTCCTCAAGAGATGGAGAATGAAAGTGAACTGCAGTATTTGTGCATCTGCTAAACTTTTACTTCAAGACAGAAATAAGTAGGCCACTCCAAAAGTAATGCCTCCTAATTATTTCCACAGAAACTACAACAGATGCAAAGAGAACAATAACACCATTGCAGGAGAATACTGTCTTCTCTCTGGCCTGACTGTAGAAACTTGAGCCTTCAGCTTATTCAGCACCACAACGTGGACAGAGTTGATGGTATGTCCAAGTTCCAGGAAATCCTGGAACCTTTCCTTTTCCAAAAGCCAGCACACATCACTTTACCTGCTGAGGGCTGCATCTTGAACTTTTTCTTCTAGAGGCCATTCACGCCACCCCTCTATGGACTGCCATTTTGACTATGGCTTATTAACCAGGACACAGTTACTTTCATCTTCATACAGTTAAATAGGTCCTGACAGATCTGCTTACAGTGTTCTCTCCATTCCTGTCTGAGTAATCCTGGGACCTGCCTGTCACAAACCTGTGATATTCCAACACCGCCACCATTATCTCCAATGTATCAGTGAAGATATTCAGCTCTGTACACAGCTCCCTGGTTGCAATCCCCCCTGTTCACATGGATGACCTGATCGAGATGCTCTTCATTTCACGGTGTGACAACCGTGCAAGGCCATTCAGAACATAGCTTGTCTTTCACTGCTGCAACTGCTGAAACACATCACTCACCACCTCGCAGTGCTCATGTCCACCATTTGGTGTCCATAACCATTCAAAGAGCATCAATGAATGTCAATGGATGCAGTGTTTTCCACAGGGAGGAATTCAATGACACACCTCTGCTTCACCTGCACTTCCATGCCAGACACCCTTCTGTCAGAACACCCCTCTGCTGCCATTCGTTGCATGACAACAAAATGTAAGAGAAAACTGGTGGGAAGATTCAACCTCTACTGCCATATTACCAGCATCTTTCCCTGATATAATGAGTCAGCAATGTAGGAAGCATTACCTTTGGCTTAATCCTCGTACATGTGAGATGTTACCAAAGATTAGAATAGCCTTGACAGCCCTACCATAAGTAATGGGTATGAAGAAAAGATAAAAGCTTATCTGCAATAATGGATGTTTGAGATCCTCTCTTTAAATATTTCAATTTAAAAAAAAACCTGAGAAGTCTGTTGTAATGTTCTATCCAGGGTCCCAGAGACACAGAAGTCATTTAATCACTTAGAACCACTTGCACTTGTGGTTTTTTTGTTGGCTGGTAATTCACCACCACCACCACAGTCTGTTGGTGCATTACTCCATCTCTCTGCTGGACTGTGAGAATTTCACCTTTTTTTTTTTCCTTTACAGAACATGCAGCTTATTCCTCTTGGGATTTTGAAATAAGACAACTGCTAATAGCATACATGCATCTGCCTGTCTCTTAAGACTCATCTCTGCTTCCCAGAGACCAGGTCCACAGTTAGTTCATTCCTCATTTACACAGTATCTGAGCTTGCAATGCATTTAACATTCAAACAAAATGTTCCTTCTCTTCCAAGCTTGTTTCCTGAATTCTTCCTAATCACTTGTTTTCTCTTTGAAGGAAGAGGAACACTCCACACGGGCAGCTATAAGCTATAGATACTGGCTTTCTAGGTCAGTGGCATGGGTTGTAAGGTTTTTAACACTGACAAACAGAAGTTGCCTAAGAATATTCAGGAATTGTCAGTGAGAAAAAGCATCTTCGGTAACATTTCTCACCTCCATTCATTGTTCCTCTTATATTTGAACAATTTTTCTGGATGACTTAGCTATATCAGTCAGGTCGTTTCCAGCCTTTCACAGCTGTGGAGTAAAAACTTGGATCTGGCTAGCCCTCCTTGTTCATTTTGGAAAAACATAACTGCAACATGCAGTTTGCATGCACAACATGATGAGAAAAATAACACTATCAAACTGTTGGTACTTCTATAATTCTAAGTTTCCAGAAATAAACTCTGCTTTTCCGTTTTCAAGAAATATCTTCTGAACTCATAATCCTCTCCATGACTGTACAGTCACAGATTCATTATCACCCCACGTTGCAGTGCCTCTGGTACTGTCCATCAAAGCTAATCAAATGCTTCCCCTATGTTGTCAACATACCATATCTCACGTCTTCCAATTTGCTCAGATTAAAGAACTTCTTCTGAGGCTGTGTAGCATCTAGTGGCTCCACAATCTGTACAAAAGGGTTGCTCATGGTTATTAAAGACACCTTGTGTCCCTAAAATACAAAAGAAAGAGAATTAGCACTATCTTCACAGCATGTGTCCCACGTGCAGAAGACACACTCCATAACCCCACAAAATGTCTGTTCCATATATGTGCAAAGCCCATGCAAGACAAAAAGGCACAGCAAAGCCTGTATTAGTAGTGCCCTTTCCCTGCAATCCTCTTGTAACATGTCCTCAGAGATAAAAGCTGTGCAGGAAGATAAGAGCATTGCAAAAATTTAAGAGGCATCACATGACTTACAAAACAAGTTTAACGTCTGCACTGACATTGCTTGCACTACTGTCTTCTTTGGGCTATTTCTGGACAGCCCCCTGAGCCCCTGTGATGCAGTCACTACAACAATGCAATCTTGTTGAAAGCTAAACAGAAAGTCATTCGCATTCAAAATTAAAAATTAACATAATTCAACCAAACACAAACATGATGATTTTATTCAAGCTAGAAAGAGTGACACAGTAAGATTACCAACCCTATCCGAATATTTGAGAATCAAGGAGTCACCTTGCCATCAGCAATATCTCAGTCCCCACAAAAAGAAAATTAAGGCTGACTCTACTGTAAACATCTTGAGATGGTTTTTGTGGCTATCCTAGCAGTTCAATGGGCAGAATATTCCGCTATATTTAACACTCACTTACACAAGTTAAAGTGTCCGCGAGTATTTCCAACATCAAGGCACAAAATGGCCTGAATTCATGCTGGAAACATCTCTCCATCTTCAGAAAAGTTTAGCTGCATGTGAACTGCCTGCTGAAACAGTTTGTAGGACACTAACACCTGAATTCTATCCAAAGCACTTTTGGGAACACTTCAGGCTGACATATGCCTGGGAACAAGCCAGCAATTTGAGAAAAAGAACACTGTTTTCATCCTTTGCCAGGCAACATGATTATCTTTTTCTTTAACAAAAAAAAAAAAAAAAAGAGAGATAAAACTCAGTTTTCACATATCACTGTTCCTCCCTTCTTTCGAGTAACATTATCTCCTTGTGTCTCAGTTTTTCAAACAAGCAAGAACAAAAAAAGAGTATGAAATGCACCACTTTGACAAGCTTCCTTGACAGGCTGGTGCAAATGGCTGCAAGAAGACCAGGACTTGTCAGTAGTAATGCGTTGTGTTACTGATTTGTGTTAACGTCAGGCCAAAGGCTGAATTAGTTTATTTCACCCATCGGACCTCACTGACTCTTCAGGAAATACAAATACACGGAGAATTATGGAATTGTTTGAGTTGAAAGGGTCCTTTAAAGGCCATCTAGTCCAACTCCTCTGGATGAGCATGGACGCCTACAGCTCCATCAGCGCCTGGCCCAGCCTGACCCTGAGTGCCTCCAGGGATGGAGCAGTCATTAGATCTCTGGGCAACCAGTTCCAGTGCTTCACCACTCTTACCATAACAAATTTTTTCCTTATATCCAATGTCAATCTCCCCTCCTTTAGTTTGAAATCATTTCCCCTTGTCCTGCCACAGCAGACCCTGCTGAAGAGTCTGCCCCCTTCCTTCTTGCAGCCCCTCCACAGACACTGAGCGGTCACTCAGTCTCCCCCCAGATCCCTGTCTCCTCCATGCTCTCAGCCTGTCCTTGCAAGAGGTGTTCCATCACTTGTGTAGGATTCTTAAAGCACTCCAGCACAAATCACATCTCACAAATTTTCAAGTTAACAACAGTTAGGGGTGACACAGATGGAGAGAGAGGGAAAACTGAAGGTCTGAGGAATAAAGTATTGAGATAAGAAATATAAGAAAGGAAAACGCCCCGCATTCTGCCACACAAAACAAGGGAAACTTCTAAACAATGTCCAAGCAAATTAGAAAGGTAAGAAAATTAACTGATTGCGACCATCAAAACAACTGAAGTTAAAATGAGGCACTGCTTACTAAAGACTACAAATCTGTGCTTGGAAATTCACAGAAGCTTCCCTCTTTCAGGGAAAAAAAAAAAAAAGAAAAAGAAAAAAAAAAGCTTACTCTGTAGCATTCACTGACAAGTTACCTTGATTTCTTTGCAACATTTTTTTTTGTCCTTGCATAAGGCCAAAGACCACTTACTTTCTGCACTGTATTGCCCTAAAATTCCAGCTGCTACTGACGTCTCACCTCTCACATTCCCAACTACAAGTCATTTGCTGAGATTCCTTTTCCCAGCTTTGCAGATACCACTCCCTCACACAATCTTACCAAATTTTGGTCGTCCTCTTCTTTGGTAACCGTGACTCACACAGGTATTCCCCTTCTAAAGCAACCTCAATGCTTCTTGGACTGAGCACGATTGAAACGAACTTCTTCCTTTCCCTGATTGCATGCTATGATCCTAATGAGTTTTATTTTCTGCCTTCCAAGATGAGAATTTTATTTTATAGAATACTCATTTCATTTCATGGAAAAGCCTGACAGATAAAGCAGGAGATCATTACTTCAGTATGACCATATGACCCCACCGTACTCAGCTGACACACTTTTATCTAAGTACAAACTGAACTAGGAACATTTCTCATTTAAGCCGATGTCTTGGCAACCCACAGAGGCAATTCAATCACACATTATTGACTTGCTACCATTTCTTTGCCATCATCAGTTAGCTGAACAAAGGTGCCAAACTGTGAGGTCGCCAAGGCTCATGTGCATGTTCTCTTATCTTACCTGGTCAAAGTGACACAAACAAACCTTACAACCTTGTAAGCTCCACGGAGCCCCCAGCAAGAATTGAAGTATAGAGAATAAATACCAAATTCTTAACAACACTGCTGCAAATTTCACAGCACAAATCCACAAACAGTCTACTATTACTTCCAAATAAACTATAAACAAAATGGCCAAAGCACTGCACTCGAGTTTGCTGACCTGCCTAAAAGTTGTGAGGAAGCAATACTCCATAGGTTAAATCCACTAAAAAAGAAATCATACAATCACAGAATGAATCCTAGAATAGCTTGACTTGGAAGGGACCTTAAAGATCAAGTAGTTCCAACACCTCCTGTGGGAAGGGCTGCCACCCACTGGATCAAGCTGCCCAGGGCCCATCCATCCTGGTTTTGAATGCCTTCAGGGACGGGGCACCACAGCTTCTCTGGGCAACTGTGCCAGGGTCTCACCACCCTCTGAGCAAAGAGTTTCCTCCTAACATCTAATTCTAAACGTCCTTTTCCAGTTTATGGTTCCCTCTTGTGCTATCACTATCAGACCGTGTAAAAGAATCAGTCTCTTTCCTGCCTACAAGCTCCCTTTAACACTGGAAGGCCACAGCAAGGTCTCTCCAAAGCCTTCTCCAGGAAGAAAAAGCCCAGCTCCCTCAACCTTTCTTCATAGGTTCTGTCATAAGCAACTTGCTGATGTGGTACTCCATCACATTACCTAGGTCTCTGATGAAGATATCGAAAAGCACTGGGACCAAGACAGAACGCTGGGGGACTCCACTCATCACCAACATCCACCTGGACATACAGCCATTGACCACAGTCCTCTGCCTGCGACTATCCAACCAATTCCTGCTCCATCAAACAGCTCACCCATGAAATGCATATCCCTCCAACTTAGGGATAAGAATGTGGTGTGTGCCCATACTGAAGGCTTTGCGCAAGTCCAACTAGGTGACGTCCTTTGTCCACTCATTCCATCACAGAAGGCCACCAGACTGTCTGAAGTAATCACTGCAGTGGATACTGATTAACTCAAGATTGCAACACAGAGTATTTATTCATTTCATGTAAATATGCAGTGAGGTTAGCCAGCGTCTGCCTGCCAAACACTGGCTCAGTATGCAGGGGTCACAACGCACGGTCACAGCAACAGCTGAACATGCAGACTGAAGCAAGCGCTGGATCTGCTGCCTGATGGCCTCCACACTGTTTGCACAGAGGTCACTTCTGAAACGGGGATCTGCACGCACACCCTCGGGAAGGCAGAAGTGCAAATGAAGAGCTTTCTCATGCTAACAGCCACAAGTCACCCACACAAGCCACACTCCTCCTGGCTCCGGAGGACAGCATTCACTGCTGCCTACACTCAGGTCTCTGACTAGCCTGACTCTAGACACCCATTCCCCCACCTCTGTACAATTCTGGACACTCTCCTATGATTTCAGTGGCTTCACACGATTGATCTATCTGAGAAAGTGGGTCAGAAGGGAAGCAAATTAAGTTCCCCTTCAGCCTGCTTTGCAGAGCAAAAGAAAACTATTTTAAACTCGATTTAGCATCTTTAAGGCTACATAAATGTACAGTGGATCAGAAAGCAAAGAAAACAGATGACTTTACAGAATCAGATTTCAGAGCACGAGCATGTGAAGACTGGGGGGCAGATTTTCCGTAAAAGTTATAGCAAAAATAATTTCAGGCAAACAGAGAAAAAGAGAAAACTAGCAAGATAAGTTTTGGAGTAGAGAAAAAAGACAGAAGTTAACAGAAAATATCATGATAGAGAAGACCACCACAAACCCAATGACTTGCGTAAAAACTGCTAGGCCTTCAAAAAGCTTCCTTCTGTCTCACAAAATCCATGCCTTCGTGACTACATACTTGAAGTTGAATCTGGAATAAGGATGTTTAGCTTTTAAGCATTACCTGTACAAATCTGTCTTTTTGCAGTATGGTAAATTTCACTTTCTTCAGTCGTAATCCACTAAAGCAGCAACATTCCTTCCTTTGTGCAGTCCCTTTCAAATATCATCCGCCAGGACACAAATCCTCATTACTTTAGCCTTTTCAAAGGTTGTATGATTTCTATAAAGTGAACAAGATGAACTACAATTTTACTTCACTGTTTCCTGTGCCAACCAACACAGATTGGCAAACACTGGTCTTGTTTATATTAACGCTGAACATCTTTAAATCTCAACTCCTTCACTATTAATAGTTACCCATTCAGAGTGCTATGCCAATGCAGTTGCTCAGCATTGTCACTCACCTTCACATCCCATTGGAGTGTATTTTGAATTTTCACACAGACTGCACATCAGCTCCTCACAAGAAGTATTTTCAGTCTTTCTTGTATCCCAGCTCTAGAACTCTCTCCCTCACAGAAGCAAAAGTGCAGAAAGATTCTAAGCATAGGCATGGAAACCATGAATACCAAGAGGGGAAGATTTATTTGGACTGGGCCATAACTTTCCAAATATAAAACAAGGAAGCTGTTTTTCATGCACGTAACACTTGCCCTTCCAAGCAGAGAATGAACTCTTAGCTAGAACAGCTGCTCCTTAAACAACCATTGGAAATGATACAGGAGTGTTCATCTCTCTCCAGCAACAAAACTTTGTATCGTGATGCTCTACCAAAGCATCCACACTAGCAAAATATGTGTACATCACCTTCCTTCTATCTGCATTGAGTCGATCAGTAAACTCTATTCACCATGATAGATCAGACATGTCCTTGCAACAACAGACTAGCAGGAGAATGGGCTGTGATGTACATGCAGATCTCTGTGGTAGACCACAGCACTGGATGACCATCTCAGCAATACACTGTCCTGGTTTCAGCAGGACTAGGGTTACTTTTCTTCACAGTGGTTGGTATGATGCTGTGCTTTGGATTTAGGAGAAAAACAACATTGATACCATACTGGTGTTTTAGTTGTTGCTGAGTGGTTCTTGCACTGAATGAACCTTTTCTGCTTCTCATGCTGCCTTGCCAGCGAGGAGCTGGGGCTGCATAAGGAGCAGGGAGGACAACAGAATCAGTCCAGCTGATCCAAAGAGGTCAAAGGCACGTTCCACACCATATGAATTCATGATGAACCATAAAAAAACGTGGGGAATTGGCTGAACAGGCAGCCATTTTGCAGGACTGAGCAGCCATTGGTCAGTAGGTGGTGAGAACTTGCATTGTGCATTACTTCTTCTATATGTATATAGCTATTATTACTATTACTTTCCCTTCCTTTTCTGTTTTATCAAATTGCCTTTATCTCAGCCAAAGAGTTATTATCCCCTTGATTTTCTCTCCCATCCCAGTGCAAGGAAGTGAGAGAACAGCTTGCTGGTGCTCAGCTGCCTGCTGGGGTAAAGCCACAACAAACCATTGTCTCTTTTATTTCATCTTTGATATCTCAGTTATTGCACTGTATGGCCAATAACTTTGGCCAGCAAGCCAATGTGATTGCCAAACAACTCTCCATCAAATTCAAGAAGTCATGCATGTCAGGTGAAGTTCTCAGTGACTGGAAACAGGAAAAAGTCCCTTGCAGTTTTAAGAGAGAAAGGAAGGCCTGGGGGACTACAGGCTGGTAAGCCTCACCACTGTGCTTGGGAAAATCATGGAAAACATCCTCCTGGAAACTACAATAAGGCAACACAGGGATGTGATCTGAGACAACCAGCATGGCTTCACCGAGGTCAGATTGAGTCTCATCTACCTGGAGGCCTCCAATGACGGAGCCACAGTATCAGTGGACAAAGGAAGAGCAACTGATGTCATCTGTCCAGACTTGTGCAAAGCCTCCAATACCATCCCACACCACATTCTTATCTCTAAATTAGAGACTTGGATAGTTATTCAATGGGTAAAGAATTGGTTGGATACTCGCTGCCAGAGGGTTGTGGTCGATGGCTCTATGTCCAGGTAGATACAGGTGATGAGTGGTATCCCAGTTCAAGTTCTTAATCAATGGTACAGACAGTTGGGATCAAGTGTACCCTCAGCAAGTTTTCTGATGACATCACGATGAGTGCTGCATTTGACACAACAGATGGAAGGAATGCCATCCAAAGGGACCTAGACAAGGTTGGAACCACAGGATCTTACTGAGATCCAATAAGGCAACATGAGAGGTGTTGCACTTGGGTCTGGGCAATCCCAAGTATGTGTACAGGTCAGGAGAAGAACTCACAGAGAGTAACCCTGGGAAAAATGACCTGGGGGTTCTGATGGAAGAATTTTATGGTCAGACTGGATGAGCTTGTAGGTTTTTTCCAACCTTGGTGTTTCTGTGATTCTGTGAAAAGCTTTAAAAGAACCAACAGTTCACGCTTGTAGCCCAAAAGGCCCACTGTATCATGGGCTGCATCAAAACAAGAGTGTCCAAAAGAGCAAGGGAGGTGACTGTCTCTGCTCTGCCCTTGTGGGGCCTTACCTGGAGTAACGTATCCAAACCCAGGACCCGCAACACAAGAAAAGGCATGGATCTCTTGGAATAGGTCCAGAGGAGGGCCACAAACACAACAGGAAGGATAGAGCACCTGTCATCTAAGAAAGGTTGAGGGAGCTGTGTTTGTTCTGCCTGGAGAAGGCTTTGACAAGACCTTGCTGTGGCCTTCCAGTACATCTTATAACCTGGAGGGAGAACAAATTTTTACATGGTCTGACAGTGATTGGAAAGGTAGAACAGTTTTAAACTGAAGGAGGGGAGATTCCGATTAGATATTAGGAGGAAATTCTTCATC